TTCCACTTCTGCTTTTCAAATGGTGTGAATCCACAGGGAATTCTGCCCCATTCCAGTCTCTGTTACAACAACCTGCACAGATCTCTCTCCAAGGAGAAAAGAGAGGGGAAGATACTGAAATTGCTATTGAAAACCAATTAAAGGAAATTTAACTGACCCTGCTCAAGGGGAGTCACGTCAACAGCACAACCTTTCCCCTGGAAAATTCCAGTTGCATCTTAATTAAGGCCGACACGCCGGAAGGTAAAGGAATGCTGTCCCAAAGGAATGGAGTGTCCTGCCCCGTGTGCTGGCCCCAGTTGTCACTTGGGATCAATACTGGAGCATTAACAAACTGTACTGCACAACCAGGAACAGCTTTACAGCAGCTTTCAAAGGAGGTAAAACTCACTGAATGGTGACCAAACATAAACGCAGATTAATTCTGGTGAAACCCTCCCAGCTCCAGGCCCTGGGCACAGTAAATATGTGATCAGTGGTGCAAGAAGGTTAATGAAAGGAAGGACTGCTGGAAAAGTGTGTGCTGTCACATCAGAGATGGATTAGATACGGAAAACCAGCCCAAAACCCGGGACAAGTGTCACTGCAAGAACTTCATCAAACAACAGGTGCTGATTTTTCTAATGCAGGGGAAAAGCTGAGACGGCCTCAGACACAGCCCAGAGTGGGCTCTGCCTCCCAGGGAAACCCAAAGCTGGGCCACAACTCTGCAAGAATTTTAAAGGACCCCTGAGCTGTCAATGGCAGCTGAACCCCACAGAACGTGTGGGCTCTGAGCCCCAGACCAGCTCCTTCCAGGCTCCTTCCAAGCCCTTTCCAAACTCCTTCCCTACCAACCCACACACAGGCCAGGCTCAGGCAAAGGAGGAAGGTTGGACTTACTGGCACAAGATCCACACCCTGACTATGTCTCTGCCTGTACCTCTGAAAACAAGACCCACAAGGGAGACTTTGGAAGGGGTGTGAATTCACCAGACAGAATAATTGGAGTAATTTTATCCATTTTTAATAAGAAGTTAAAAGAGAACTATAAAACATCAAGCGTTGCAACACCAGCATAGAAATACTCTCTCTGATGTTATCTTGTGCTGGAAAATACCGGTTTCCCTGATCATTTCTAATGGAGCATGAAATTATCATGGGATTTTGATGTTTTCCTCCTGTTTGCCTTGACACCTTCTTGCTTGAATCCTCACCCTGTGCCTGCTCCACAGAAGTACCATGACAACACTGTCCTGCCACAGCAGGGATGGCCACACTTCCAAAAGGTCACATCACGGAATATCACACAATATCACAGAATCACAGAATTTGCCGAGTTGGAAGGGACCACAAGGATCATATCAGTTAATGGACTGCTCAGAGCAGGGGACACAAAAGGGCTTTCTCACATCACAGTCCCTGTAAACATTTTGTCCACTTGTTATTTCCCATGCTGTGGTTGACTCAGTGATAGATGTAAGAGCCACCACACCAACTGGGTCTGCACAGGGCTCTGGACAATCCACACCTCAAACAATTGCTATATTTGATCAAAGTCTGCACCTTCATGACCTGCAGCACGTGCTGCACTGACGTCTGGTTATGGAAACACGACAAACAAATCACAGGATGGTTTGGGCTGGAAGGGACCTTAATGATCATCCAGTTCCACCCCTGCCATGGGCAGGGACACCTTCCACTAGCCCAGGTTGCTCCAAGCCCCGTCCAACCTGGTTTTGAACACTTCCAGGGATGGGGCAGCCACAGCTTCTCTCGGCAACAAAGGCAGCACAGGCAGTAACAAACACCACACTAGAGAACGAGAGCACTGAAACCAACCCCTACACCACATCACTGAACAGACCCTCACAAAACACAAATACAGATGTGAATGCAGAAAACTATCAGCTGAACTTTGAGTATCTCTTCTACCTGCTCCAAGATACACAAAGAAAACAAACTGGAAGAAAATAATCTTATTTTCAGCCATTATGGGAGGACACAACACTCACACTGGTACCCAATTTTTTACTACACAATAGCTTCAAAGTTGTCTGTGGCACAGCACAGCACTGATTCTCAAAGATATCTGCAGGGAGGGGGCAGAGGATGGACCAGGCTCTGCTCAGGGGGCCCAGCAATGGGACAAGAGGAACGGGCAGGAACTGATGCCCAGGAAGCTCCACCTGGACAGGAGGAAGAACTTCTTTGCTGGGCAGTGACCCAGCTCTGAACAGGCTGCACAGGGAGGGGCTGGAGTCTCCTCACTGGGGATATTCCAGACCCCTCTGGCCACAATCCTGTGCCACGTGCTCTGGGCTGGCCCTGCTGGAGCAGGGAGTGGGACCAGTGACCCACTGTGGTCCCTCCCAGCCTGACCCAGTCTGGGATTGTGTGAACATCAGAAAAAAGGCTCACGTATTGCCTCAAAAGTGCAAGGACTTAAAAGAATATGAAGGTTTTTTCTAAGACTGAGAAAGGGGAGAAACTTCCTCAGGAGGGCTCTAACCCTCCCTCCCACAAGTGACCTTCCACATGCACGTGCAAAATGCAAGGCTGTACTTGCTGCAGAAAGGGTCCAGTGAACACAGGGTGTTAGGAAACGCTGCCACTCAGGAGCACAAACTAAAAATTAAAAGAAAAATCTGTATTTCTATTGCATGTGCACACTGCAGCATAGTCCCAGTCCTCAGAGGCAGGAGCTCCAGCAGGGCTCAGCAGAGGGCAGGATGCTCTGCTCAGCCACCCCGTGGGACCCAGAGCACACAGGGAGCTTTGTGCAGGGCTCCCAGGGCACAGCACAGGCCCCCTGGGACCCACAGCAGCCTCAGGGCTCTGATCCTGCTGCAGTACAGCTTCCCACACATCACCAAAACGGGTGCCTGGGCCCAACAGCCACGAATCATTGAACATTTCTGAGAAAGGATGTTCCCTTTTTTAAAAATACGAGGTTTTAAGAGGAAATTTTACCAGTTACACTCAAGAGTAATCTTGTTGACCCTGGAAACAGAGCAAGCTCTGCCCTCAGAGACTCCAGCTCCATTTCTCCTCTGTGCCATTCCGCAGGACAGAGCTCCTGAATGTGCAAAGGAAAAATTAGGAAGAGCAAATGCAATAATCTGCGCTGGAGTTCAGCCAAAATGGGTAACTCTCACATGGAGCAGTGTTGGTGACCTGTGTGGGGTCAGCAGACAGGTCAGTCACACTCTGACAGAGGGGGTTCCATTTTTTGCACGAGTGTTTGCTCAGGGATCAAAGCAGATCACCCAGGGAACCATGAGGATGTGTCTGAGGCTGTCCCTCAACACCTGCTGCTGCAATTCCAATGTGCCATGGCCCGAATCCTGTGCTAAGGTGGCAGATCCACTATCATTTCCTAGAAAGGAGGAAATGGCAGCTTCATTTTGCTGTCCATAGCCTGGCTACCACAGCCTTTTCTATTGTTACCCCTTCTCTCCTCTCTCTCCTCTGGGAATGAATTCATTGGGCAGTTTGAACACACTGAAGGAAAAAGGAGTCTGAAAGAAAAATCAACTTCTACAACACAAATGAAGAGGCAGAAGAGAAAGAGCCTTGTGAGCCTTTGGCCCATCTCAAGCCCGTGCAGAGCTCCAGGGTGAGCCCAGGACACCCAGCCAGGACACTCCTGCTCCTCAGCAAGACACACACACATGCTCAGGCACAAATTGAAGCCACCAACAGCTCTGAAGTTCAGCCCGGGGGAGCAAACACTTGGAGTGGAATTCCACAGGCAAAAAGTGAAATCCAAAAGACCATTGACAACCCATCCTCCTCACCCCACTGCACACAGAGCTCACAGGATGCCACGTCTGCAGTGAAAATGTCTTTTTATAGAATTACATCAAGACTGTGCCTAACGTGGTTTGTTTGTTATGGACACAGCACCCGTGTGACTCCATCAAACCCAACCTGTGCTCTGCTAATAACTGATTAACTCAGGCAACAGGCCTGAATTTCACATTCAAAAACAAGGCTCTGCCTTTCCTCGTGGTCAGGCAGGGACCACCAGGGATGGATCCTTTCTAAGAACCTGTTAGAGGGGACAAACACACCCCCTTCCAGTGGAAAGGGACTATGTGGGAACGGGGTAAAGAGAGCACAACTGGAAGATGAATAACCACAGTTATTTTCCCCAGCTGTGAAGGACACACCAAGATGGAAATTGAAATGTCTTTCATCTGAAGGCACTGCTGACTGCTACACTATGTGGTCACTGGGGACTGCTTCAACCTTAAGCCTCATCCTGACAGTTTTCTTCCCAACAATTCACACAGGCTTTGGATAGTGGCACCCACTAGTCCAACACAGACCAGTTGGTCAGTTATTACCTCTTCTAAGCAATTCCCACTCCCTCGTCCTCCCCAGCTCTGCAAACACACATGACCCTGTCACTGAAGGCAGCACATCACTTCTAAGCAAATGAAACACCCTTTGCTCCCTGCAGAGCTCAATGAGTTCAGTGGATGCTTTACCATTACCCTCAGACACTCCCAAAGCACAGATCCCATCACTCACTTGAGGTGAGAGTGCCATACCTTGTCATATCTGGTTCTGGGCCTTCATTCTTGTAAGATGCCTCAAGTTGTTTATGTCGTGTGAGAAGGTCGTCCACCAAATTCTGCCTCCTGTCTCCCTCCAGCTGTGTGCTGATGGCACTTGGTTAAGGAACAAACTTTAAAACACTGAAAAACTTCAATGTAATTATATAAAATATCTGTTATACATTCTGAAAATAAATCAGATCCCCTGACCATCAGCATTAACTAGGGTAACTATTTTAACTCAAGAAAAGGCTCCAATATCTAAAAGGATGGGTCACATCTTTCTGAATGAAATCTGCTGTTATTCTAAATGTGTTTCTGAACCTTACATATCTCAAACAAAAAGTTTCATACAGTGGCCACAGAATGATCTTCATGTCATCACCCCAAAGCAGTAAGAGAACTGGAAGACTGCTTACTGCCAAATTAGCATTAAAATAGCATCTCCCCCTCCAACTCCCAACACAAGTCTTCTATCTATCACTAAGAAGCCCTAAGCAGTTGGTCTCCTCTCCAACACTGACAGTGTAACTGTACTGCATGGGTTAAGTTCAGGGAAGGATGAGACTTCTTAAAGGAGTTCCAACTCACACTGTCACAAACAGGGCAGGCCCAAACAGAACAGAGCTTTTAAAACCAGTGGGGTACTTCACATCTCATTTCACTGGAGGCTCGTAATACAGACCAGGGGAGTAGCTCTTAGCCAAGTGATCAGAGAACAACCAAAAATTTCCTTTGAGCATCTGTTTCCATTTGCAATTGGTCAGCAGAACACCCTGACAGCCACTGGTGCAGCAGAAAAACAATTCACGCAGTGTCTCTGAAAGACAAGATGCCCTGTAGTGCTGGTGGCTTCAACAGGGGACGTGTTTGCTTTTTTAAATTAACCTCAGTGAGTTCTGAAGGAATACTAACCCTCTTTCAAGTACTGCTGAGTGGATTAGGCAACAGCTGAACTGATCTGTGTGTGCTTTCTGCCACAGCAGTAACATCTGCCTGCTCTCAAGCACTCAGTGGACAGGGAAGTGTCACCCCTCCATCAGCACAGCACTGAGGGGCCAGGACTTAGGAGGGATTTCTGATATAATAGGCTTGAAATTAAATGTGCCTTCATCAACTCAGATTGGTCCTGGATACCTTCAGGGAGATGGACATACTTCTTTGACTCTTTTGGCCTGACTCTCCCAGCATATGGGAGGAGCAGCATATCCAGGCCACAGGGTAACACTCCTAGAAGAAAACCTGTGATTTCTTCCCAAGGCATATTTTGCAGCGTTTTGACAACATTCTGAAGGTGGAGCCCTGTTGTTCCCTAAGTCAGTCAAAGCTGGGACTCCCAGAGCCCTGCCCACAAGGCTTCATCCTTCCTTATAGCAAGGCCTGGCCAAGAGAAAACACCAAATAGCCAGTTTTGTGCTGGACAGGTGACCTTGGCTCACGCTCCAGCACCCAGCCAACAGTGCCAGCACAGCACAGGCAGCACCAGGACAGCTCTGAGATGGCTCACACCATCTTGTTAAGCTCCTGTCTGACACAGAGATAACCAGAGCCAGCCCCATGCCCAGCACCCCAGAGGGGCCCAGGCTCCCTTCCTGCTCTACAGCTGCAAGGAAAACACCAACCAGCAGCACAGAGAAAGTTCCAGTGACAACATCTTCTGCACAGGGAATGAGGGGAAAACCCAAACTGTGTGGCAGAGCAATCACAGTGTCTTTTTCCACTCTGTCCCACAACACCAAAGGGTCAGGGAGTGATGTTTATACGGATACATTTGGCGTGTTGACACCGCCCGAAGCAGCAACTCCTTCAGCTGATCAATCTTCTCCCTGAGATTCTGCAGCGATGATCTGATGGCCACATTGATCTGGAGGGGAAGAAAGAGATTATTTAAGTTTTTCTTTCTGGTCTGAGTTATAATTGCATAAAATTTCATACTGCTTCATGCAGAATTTTTAATATATATATATATAAAATATATAACATATTATATATAACATGTAATATATATAATGTAATATATATAAAATATGTATTTAACTTCAGCTCTACAGGTGTGAAGGGCTTCACTCCAGCCCCAGAAAGCTGAAATACAGTGACACAGCTCATGGCTCTGGGATGCTTATAAAATAATGGGAGAAATAGTTCTAGTGTCACAAACACAGTTCTAAGGCATTACCCCTGTTGAACATGGAAAGCTGTCTTTCAGGTCTTTATAAACACACTCCTCTATATGGGCAAAACATTTCAGCACATTGTAATATTTTTTAGATAGTTTTCCAGTTCTCTCCTTTGGTCTCTAACACAAATAAAAGCACCAGCTTCTTCAGCCACCAGGTTTCTTTCCCAGCTCCCAGGATTAGAGGGAAGGTTGCTACAGGTTCAGACATTCCCTCCACTGAACTCCTCCAGACTTTAAACTAAAAATCCCAAAGAAATTCAGATTCCTCCATGTCCCTTCTCAGCAGCACCTGGGACCCCCGACCCTTTCTCACCACTGGCCTGCCCAGGATTCAGATGTGTCTGTTCTTACCAAAAACATAGTTCAGTTGTTCACAATTCTTCCCTGCTGCAGGCAAGCCCCAGGCTTGCAGGAATCCTCCTCTCTCCCCACCCCTTCCCAAGTCTGGCTGACATTACCCTCTGGGACTTTCCTCCTTAAATCTTACTTCTTTTCATTCCAGTTATGCAGAGAGTTCTAGGAAAAAACACTGTAACTGCAATTAACCATGCAAGTCATCCTAATTAAGACTTGATGTGCTTCTTGTTTACAAGCTCCCAGCCCTGCTGTGGGTTACAATGGGCTGCAGCCCCAGTTCCTCTTTGAGGAACTTGGATCAGAAGAGGAATATCTGCTCTGACTCTCATTCCAGCCTTCTTGGAGACGCAGCAGCAGCCAGACAGCAGCACATCCCTGCACGGGATCCTGCACAGCCACACCACACTCGGTACCAGCACAGGGATGGAGCAGGAGAGCCCCAAAACCCCCCGAAAGCATCAGGAATTTAAATCCCTCTGACTCTGTGAGGTTTGTTCTCAAACACCACCAAATACAACAGCAAGCAGAAGCAACCACGCTGAGCCCTCGAGAGGATGCAGCCAAAATCCACCTTCAGCCCAACACCACGGCAACGATTCCCAAACCAGGATGGGGTCTCAGTGCTTTTGGGAAGGCTCAACATCCTGCACGTCCTCTGGCTCTGCAATCAGGTAATCAGTCTTTTAATTTCACGTGTTCTCGTGTCTCCAGGAGGAGAACGTTGCATTTAATCAACCCAGAAGAGCAGAGCAACATAAAGGTGACACGGCCAAGAAAGTCCTCAAACACAGACATTACTGACCACAACTACAGTGTGACAACACAATATTTCACTTCCTTCAGAGAAAAAAAGGAAAATAGAAAAAAGAAACCAGTCAAGGCTTAAGATCAGATCGACAGAGCAGAGCTCACAGATGGTAAGTGCTGCCTTGAAATCTTTCCTTATAGTTTATATTTCCATTTTAAGTTTTAAGCTCTATTTTTGGCTCAGCAACAAGCAACAGGGTTTTTAGCCATGCTAATGGCAAAATACTATAAAAATAAAAACTTGTTTATATTCTCTCTAACAGGCAAACAATGTACAAAGACATTCCCCAGCATTAAAGCGTTCAGGAGGCACAAAATACAAGACTGCTCAGCCGTGGATTTCTCAACAGGCATTTCTGTTATGAAAACAACTCTCTCCTTGTTGGAAACTTGTTTATAGTAGAATCAAACACTGCCAAATATTCATCTTTACCTGTTAATGGATGAAAGGGAAACTGGAAAACACAGGGCATGGAACAAGTGATTTTATGAAGAACTAAGTCAACCATGTAATGTTTCCATAAAACACAACCTCGGAGAGTTATGGCCCCAGAAAGGCTTCAAACAACAGCAACACGAGGTTTCGTTGGGGTTTGTGACACATCACGGACGGCACTGATGGAAATAGAGGACTTTGTCCTCTATAAATACACACAGATTAAGCAGCAATCTTTTTATTAGTCTTCTACTGCTTGGGCATATCTGTACAATTTGTGATAATTCACCACCCTGCAGGCAGGGACCAACCCCCAAACACTCCTCTCAGTGCTACAGCCAGAGAAAACACTTCTCTCAAATCCCACTTATTTGGGCCTTCTGAAACCTCAATTCCTGCTGAATTTGAGTCACTCATTCAGCAGCACTGATTATTGTACAAAGCCCACACAGTTTTCCTCAACATTTCTTCATGAGAAACATTTCAAAAATGGCATTTTATTTTAAAAGCTGATAGGTTTTAAACTGGTAGAGAAGATTCAGTGATTGGGCATCATATTAAAGCCCTGCTATAAAGAGGGGCAGAGCCTTCAAGATAAATCAGTGGGGCTTTAATTATGTCAATTATTATAAAGGACCAATTCAAGGACTTGCAGCCTTTTTTTATCTTAACACATCCAAGGGACCTGTTGATGGCATGAAGCTGCTCCTGCAGTGCCTGGAGGAAAGGATGAGGCTTTTAGTCCTGGAGAAAGGAGCTTCCTGAGAATCCCAATTTTAATTTATTTTTTAAACAGGAAGTGTGAAAACGTGGAGAACATTTTCCTGGGTAAGCTCTCACTTCTGCTTCTCATTTATATTTAATTCTGGTCTTACGTTTTGTCAAAAATATGGCTAAAACAAGGCTGCAAAGTTCCTGTTTCCTCTGCTATAGAGCCCCTGCAGAAGGCAGCGATCCAGCCTTGTGGGGAGAAACATCTGTTCCCTATTCCCAGAGAGGGGCACAGAGCAGCTGATGTGCATCCCAGCACCTCTGAGCCTCGGGATCTCTGGGAAAGTTCTGATCCTGGCAGTGACAGCCCCGAGCAGTCAGCAGGGTGAGCCCAACGCTCCCAGGGCTCCTCCTTTCAAACCAGCCTGATCGCCCACAGAAACACTCAGTTCTGTTAAACCCAAGGTGACTTCTGGGAGGCTGAAAGGCCTCTGTTAATTTAGAGTTTGCATCCTTGTTGTCTTTACAGGACCCTTGAAGAACAGAGCACTGGCGGTGGGTTCCCTCCATCAGACCCAGCCCGTCCCTGCAGGTCCCCGGCGGTGACACCGACACAGCCGGACCCGGGGCAGGGCCGGAGCGTCACCCCCGTCCTGGCACCGGCCCTGCCCCTTCCAGCAGCTCCCGCTTCCCTCTGCACCCCCTGCCAGGGAATTCAGGGCTCCCCGGGCACATCCCACCCCTGCAGATTTAAAGCTTAACCCGCATCGAGAACGCTCCAAACCCAAACCCAGCTCAGAGCCCATCCCGGGGTACCTTGGCTGAGCTCTCCCCGCTCCGCTGGCACCGGTTCCGCTCCTGGATTTTCTCGGCGATGTCCTGGGCGAGCTGGCGAGTGGCATCGAGCAGGGAGAGCCTGGAGGGAGCGGGGGAGCGGCTGAGCCCGGGGGGACCGGGAGGGGCACCGGGACGGGCACCGGGACCCGCCGGGACCGCCCGGGATCGGCCTGGGAAAGGGCCGGGAGGGGAAGGT